ACACTATCCAAATGTGAGGAATGTTCTTCATAAGAAACTACATATTTAAGGTGGAAAGGATTTAAAAGCAACTTTATTTCCATAAAATATACCCTCTTTCTTGAATTATTTTCTTACAAATACACTATAATGTGTCTAATCATTTAGAAATAGGATTTTAAAAATCCCAAGCACACTATTTATTAAGTTACTGCTACATGATTATGAAAATCAGAAGCTGCTGAAAAACCTGCTCTAGCATGGCTGATCACAATTCCTTCATTGGGTTGTTCACAAATAATTCTCTCCATCTCAAGGTTGGCCCAAGATTTCTCTTGCCTTACTCGAAATTGTAACCCATATGAATTTTCTCCCATTTCCTCAAAAAGTTTTGGAGACAAGATTCATTCTCATATGAAAAAAGGAAATTGAAGTAATTTACCACTTGTCAGTTTCACCAAATGAATTGTGATAGGTTCCTGATGAAAGTTCATAAAAATATCTCTTGATGTTATATAGATACTCTTTTCATTATGCACTGTCACTAAATGATGAGAAGGTAATTTGTGGTCAAGTAAAGATCTAACTTTTCCTGAGCAAGAAAAAAAAAGACCCATTAAGCTAATTGTTGATCACAAAAATGGTTATGTTCTTAGAATTGTACCAAAGAAATGCATGAAACCTATTCTCTTTATATTATTAAAATTTTTAAATTAGTGTTAAGACTATAGTCTGAAATTCATGAAGATGAAAATCATAACATGAATCCAGTTTGTATTTCATTCTTTTTTTAAAAAAAGATTTATTTGTGTATTTGAAAGTCAGAGTTACAAAGTGGTAGAAGGAGAGGCAGAGAGAGAGAGAGGTCTTCCATCTGCTGATTCACTCCCTTAATTGGCCGCAAGGGCCAGAGCTCCACCTATCTGAAGCCAGGAGCTAGGAGCTTCCTCTGGGTCTCCTATGTGAGTGCAGGGGCCCAAAGACCTGGGCTATCTTCTACTGCTTTCCCAGGCCATAGCAGAGAGCTGGATTGGAAGTAGAGCAGCCGGGACTCGAACCAGCACCCATATGAGGTGCTGGCCCATTCAGATCTGGCTAAAAAGCCCATGAGAGTATTTCAGGCATGGAAAGCCAAGACACTGGCAAAAAAAAAAAAAAAAAAAAAAAAAGAAAGAAAAAGAAAGAAAAAGAAAAAATGTCCTTAAATGAGCACTTTTTAAAAGAAAGTCACACATAAGGAACATAATTTGCAAATTCTTAAATGTTTATGAGGTATCTTCAAAAGTTTAATAGAATATAAACATCATGGAAAACATGCATAGATTTCAAACATTTTTACACGAATAAATTTCTCTCTTAATTCCATTTTCCACAAACCTTTTGATGTTCCCTCATATTCCCCAAGAAATAATTTCTAATGGAATCAATTCTTTTTGATAAATGCTAGTCAGAAGAAGAAGAACCATATTACTTAGTCTCTGGAGAAACACACAAACCATAGTACATTTCTTAGGTCATGAAATCAAATAAAATGTGTCTTTGGAAGATATAAAAATATAATATAAGGCTGGCACCATGGCTCACTTGGCTAATCCTCCTCCTGGGGTGCCAGCACCCCAGGTTTTATTCCCTGGTGGGGTGCTGGATTCTGTCCTGGTTGCCCCTCTTCCAGTCCAGCACTCTGCTGTGGCCCGGGAGTGCAGTGGAGGATGGCCCAAATGCTAGGGCCCTGCACCTGCATGGGAGACCAGGAGGAAGCACCTGGCTCCTGGCTTCAGATGGGCGCAATGCACCGGCCGCAGCATTCAGGGTGTCGTAGCAGCCATATGGGGAGTGAACCAATGGAAGGAAGACCTTTCTCTCTGTCTCTCTCTCTCACTGTCTAACTCTGCCTGTCAAATATATATATATATATATACACATACATATATACATATATATATATATAATGTGAGGATATAATAGATCAGGTTAAAAACAATTTACAAAAATAATTTCCAAAGGAAAATAAATGAAAATGGACACAATTGAAAATGAAATTAGAGAAGCTGAAATTTAGTTGCAAAAATTTCATGATGACAAGGAGTAATGCAAAAATACAAAAAAAAAAAAAAAAAAAAAACAAATCATGATTTCATGATTGCAAACGTAGAGACCTAGGGACAGGCATTTAGTACAGTCATTAAGACGTCATTTGGTATATCTCTGCTTCTAATCCAGCTCCCTGCTAGTGTCCTCGGAAGGCAGTGGAAGATGGCCCATGTGCTTGGGCCCCTATACCCACATGAAAGACCTAGAGGGCAGCGCTGCCGCTCAATAGGCTAATCCTTCGCCTGTGGCGCCAGCACACCGGGTTCTAGTCCCAGTCGGGGCGCCAGACTCTGTCCTGGTTGCCCCTCTTCCAGGCCAGCTCTCTGCTATGGCCTGGGAGTGCAGTGGAGGATGGCCCAAGTACTTGGGCCCTGCACCTGCATGGGAGACCAGGAGAGGCACCTGGCTCCTGGTTTCGGATCAGCACAATGCACCGGCCACGGCGGCCATTGGAGTTGAACCAATGGCAAAAGGAAGACCTTTCTCTCTGTCTCTCTCTCTCACTGTCCGCTCTGCCTGTCAACAACAACAACAACAACAACAACAACAAAAAAAAAAAAAAAAAAAAAGACAGACCTGGAAGAAGCTCCTGGTTCTTGGCTTCAGGTCGGCCCTGCCCTGGCAGTTGCAGGCATTTAGGGAATGAACCAGCGGATGGAGGACCTTTCTCTCTGTCTCTCCCTCTATGTCTGTAACTCTGCCTCTCAAATAAATAAATAGATCTTAAAAAAAAAAAAAAAAAGATGTCACTTGGAATGCCTGGATTCCTCATCTGGGTGCCTTGTTTGATTCTTTGCTCTGCTTGCAATCCAACTCCCTGGGAATGAAATAGATGATGACTAAAGTATTTGGATCCCTGCCACTTCTATATTAGAAGACCCACAAGGACTTCTGAACTCCTGGATTCAACCTGGTCTAACTTTTGTTATTAGGGACATTAGAAAATAATCAGTAGAAGGAAAATATCTATATGTGTCTGTCTTTCCTAAAGTGAAATACTTATTTTTAAAAGGAAAGAAATTGATCTAGAAAATAAGTATAAGATTTTAAAATATTAACAATGAAATCTCCAGAGGAGAAGAAATGGCTAATTGTGAAAAAAGAAATCAAAGGAGAAATAAAATCACAGCTAAAAAAAAAAAAAGCAAAAATACTCATTTTATAGAGTGCCACACAGAATTAGAAAATTTAATACACACATACAAATATGCTAGGTTGATTTATTTTAAATTTTCAGTTCCACACTAGACTGCTAATTCCTATTAAACACTCGGATGCACAAATTATGTGAATTGACATTGCATCATTGAGGTTTTATAATGATTTAAGATAAACTTTTTTTTTTTGACAGAGTTAGACAGTGAGAGAGAGACAGAGAGAAAGGTCTTCCTTTGCTGTTGGTTCACTCCCCAAATGACCATTACGGCCGGTGCTGCACCGATCTGAAGCCAGGAGCCAGGTGCTTCCTCCTGGTCTCCAATGCGGGTGCAGGGCCCAGGCACTTGGGCCATCCTCCATTGCCTTCCCAGACCACAGCAGAGAGCTGGACTGGAAGAGGAGCAACTGGGACAGAATCCGGCACCCCAGCCGGGACTAGAACCCCGTGTGCCGGTGCCTCAGGCAGAGGATTAGCCAAGTGAGCCACGGCACCAGCCGATAAACTTATTTTTTTTTATTTGACAGATTTACACACAGTGAGAGAGAGACAGAGAGAAAGGTCTTCCTTCCGTTGGTTCACTCCCCAAGTGGCCGCTATGGCTGGCGCTGCACGGATCCAAAGCCAGTAGCCAGGTGCCTCTTCCTGGTCTCCCATGCGGGTGCAGGGATCCAAGGACTTGGGCCATCCTCCACTGCGCTCCCGGGCCACAGCAGAGAGCTGGACTGGAAGAGGAGCAACCAAGACTAGAACCCGGAGCCCATATGGGACGCTGGCGCCACAGGCAGAGGATTAACCAAGTGAGCCACCGAGCCGGCCCCATAAATTTATTTTTAAATATAATTAACTTTCCATGTTTTAGCAGCTTAAAATCTGAGTAGGAGGATTTCAAATGTAAAATATATAAGTAACAAAGTGAACTAATTTCCTTTTTGTGTGTATGTCTGTAACTATCTGCTTTCCTACATTCAAAGGCATTCTTTAAAATGTCAGTTTTATAAAAAACATGTATTTTTTTTCCGAAGACACTTCCCACGTTTTATTTACATTTTATGACTAACTTTAATCTCAAAATCACATCTCCATACACCTATTTCCTTTTTTTGTGGACTTCACTTGAACTTAACTGCATGGTTTGTTAAACAAAGAAATGTAAACAAATATTTACCATGTCTGTTACATGTAACACACAAGAACAACTTTTAACAGAAATTCTTCGACCCCCCCAACATTTTTTATTATAAATACAGGTATCAAAATAATCCTAAACTTGTTTTTATACTACTAGTAGTCAGCACCCACACCGCTTTAAAATTTAACACAAGTTGTGACAATATTCATTGTACCTGCTGCTTTAAACAATTGCAACTGCAGCTCTTTCACTAAGCAAGATGGATAAAGATGCCATTTCTGTTTGTCCTTGGGATTTTTACTTTTCAGAAACACACGTTTCCACTGCCATCTTCACGTCTTGCCACACTTGCATCTTGTAAACCCGAATTCTACTTGAAGCGCTCCAGGTTTATGTTTAAATGACAGTGCCTCAACAAGAGAAAGAAAAATTATGCTGCATTTTTCCTCCAGTTACCTGAAAACATAATGGGTGTACATACATTAAATATATTACAAATGCCCGGGTCACATATCCCAGCTGGAATTCTTTACTGAATGTGTGGGTATTTTGCATTGTGATGTTTAGTCAAGACATTGATATGAGTAGAAGGTTGTTGGTTTAAGGCAAGTCTGAGCTCCCTTAAAACTAACTGCTGTATGTTTATCCTTCTGGTTGCTGTCGAAGCTTCATACTCTCTTTGGACAACATTAGACGTCTTAGCTCTTGAAGTACAACTTTAATGCTGCATGAATTTTGCCATTTTGCTAATACTGGTATGCTCCGTGCATCGACCATTCCACTGGAATTATTTATCCCACTCATATTAATTTTTGTTACAAATCTAACTGATAGAGGCGTTTCTGGGTATTTAGGTCCACATTCGACTTTCAGGCTATATATTCTGTTCTCATAATGTGGTCTTGGTGGCCCAATAATCATGCCTGTCCATCTCGTGTCTTGTCTTCATCATCTTCAAGGCCCCAGCTAATCGTACCATCGCCTACTCCTTTTTGTCCTTCTTCAAGTTCTTCCAACAAGCGAAAATTACGAGGAACTTTAACTCCTGTGGAGACCACCGTCTTCTCCTTCAGTCCAAAATCATATATTTTTATAAAGATGTTATCTATAAAGAAGCTGTAATTATTTATGAACATAATGTAATTGAGTCCATGGAATTTTTAAAAGAATGAATATGCCCTGTAGTATTTTTAATATTTGTCCCTTATGATTTTAAATATTTTCACTGAGTATACAATAAATTATCTAAAAATTATTCATGTATGACCTCTGTTTTTTTTACTAATTATAATAACTGGAATTTATCATACAAGTCTGTCTATGTCTGTATTTGTGTGCATGTGTACTTTTAGAAATGTTGAGATTAGGATTTTCACTCAAGTTTATGTCAGTAGCATTTCATATTAGGGATTCACAGAAAATAATTTGGCATTATTTAGTTATGTTTTTACATATACACTAGATTTTGAATATATGAAAATATGAATTTTATTGTGTGTCAATAGTACTATCTTAAAGAAAGAAAGTTGGCCGGCGCCGCGGCTCACTAGGCTAATCCTCCGCCTAGCGGCGCCGGCACACCGGGTTCTAGTCCCGGTCGGGGCGCCGGATTCTGTCCCGGTTGCCCCTCTTCCAGGCCAGCCCTCTGCTGTGGCCAGGGAGTGCAGTGGAGGATGGCCCAGGTGCTTGGGCCCTGCACCCCATGGGAGACCAGGAAAAGCACCTGGCTCCTGGCTCCTGCCATTGGATCAGCGCGGGGCGCCGGCCGCAGCGCGCCGGCCGCGGCGGCCATTGGAGGGTGAACCAACGGCAAAGGAAGACCTTTCTCTCTGTCTCTCTCTCTCACTGTCCACTCTGCCTGTCAAAAAATAAAAAAAAAAAAAAATTAAAAAAAAAATTAAAAATTAAAGAAAGAAAGTTCATGTAATACAGTAAATTAGTTATAATAGATGAGTTATCTTCCATTTATTAGACATATGCATTAGACTCCTGTATCTTTATGTCTAAAAATAAAGATGATATTTGATAGAATATTTCATAGAAACCTCTGTCTAGTAAAACTAAAGATATGGAAAAAATAAAAATCTTGAAAGGCCAGGGTTCTTTATGTTGGTAACATTCAAAAACACAAGAACAAGCATTATTTGGATTCATAGATTTTTTTTTTCATGAAAACATAATTTGGACATACACAGCATTAAAAGGCTCAATACATATGTTAATAATATAGACAGAAGCATCTTTCTAGCTTTAATAAATATATTTTTATTTAAAAAGCAGAGAGACAAAAAGAGATTTTCTATCTGCTTTTTCAGTTTCCAGACACTCAAACAGCTGATGCCATGCCAGGCCATAGCCAGGAGCTCAGAATTCAATGTGGGTCCCCACATCGGCGGCAGACACCCAAGCACTTGATCCATCACCAGCTAGAACAAGGTGCTACAATATGTGATGTGTGTGTCCCAGTTGGCCTCCATAACAGCATCCAGCACCTGCCCCTCAGTCTCTAGTTTCAATTTGTAAAGCAGGCTAAGCCTCAGAACCATCACAATTCTCTTAGCTGATCATAAGGAAGTGTTCTTTTTAGTTAACCACCATAACCTCTCATTCCAAACAAAATATATTTTTCATGACCAAACAAATCTAAATTCAGGTCTAGGAATATATCAAGAACTTTTCCTTCATATTTGGCATATATTAAGTCCTCCTACTTGTATAAATATTCTATCTCTTCTTTCTTCATAATAATGCTAATTACTCTTGCAATACAATTTCTATAGTCATTTGAAGAAAATTTTATCAACCATATTGCTTTATATAAGCTCTTCTGTAATCTCAAATGTAGAAAATGCACATAACTATAGTGATTCATTTTAAAATATTTTCCCAAACTTCTACCAATGTGGTAACATTTTAAAATCTATTAATTTTTAGGACTATTATGTAAAATAAAACTGGATCACCATAAACACTAAAAATAATGATCCAGGAATGAAATTTAAGAAGATTTACACCTTCTTCATTTATGTATTTATTTTATTGTCTTTGGGAAGCTAATGTTAAGAACAGCCAATGTCTCCTTTCATGTAAATAATATTTCTATTTAATGAAGTTCAGAAAATTCAGAGGAGTTAGCCCAGATGCACCTTGGCTGTCGCTCCCCCTCTTCATGGAGGAACGACACAGGACCCTGCGCTGTTCTTTTGTCTGCTCGGCCCTCCCCGGGTTTGCTGCTGGTTCTTCCCGGGTTGGCTACCGTCCCTTCCACCTCCGTGGAAGGGCGGTTCCCCCTGCCACTTTCCCCACTTCCGCGGGGGAGCGGCACACCGCCGGCCGGCTCTCTCGGGGGCTGCACAGGTGTTCCTCAGGTGTTCCTGGTACATGTTGTCTCTCTCCTCCTTTATAGTCCTCTTCCACCAATCCCAACTCTGCTACCCACACGCCGAGTACGCTGCTCTCCTCCAATCAGGAGCAGGTCCTACAGTTTATTGGTTGAACTGGAGGCAGCTGTGCAAAAGTTGTTTTTACTCCTCTCCCAGCGCCATATTGTGGGAGAGCAGATGCATAGAATAAGTCTTAATTCCAGTAACTTAGTCTAGTCCGGGTTGCTCCCAGTTGCTCCCCACACTTGGCACTGACAAGGAAAAGTTGGCACTTGCCTCTAGTAGGTGGGTCTGCAAAATATGCAGGAAATAAGGGTTTCAGATGTGAAAAGAAGGTGGATAAGGTATCTCTAAGGCAGTTTTTTATGTCAATTTTATAAATTCAGAAGTAAGTCTCCCACTATAGGTGTTTATTTGCTTGTGTGCATATATGTGTTGTGTGTGTGTGTGTTTCTAGACATATGTGTAGATTTTAGGACAGTGTTGATCAGCTTCCTTTTCTCATTTTCCCAGTTCCAAAAGAAAATCTGAACATTTCTTTCCTAATCTCTTCCTTATGATATTTAATACCAGAAATGCATTGCAATCATTTTTATGGATTACAGTTCAGGCCATAGTAATATATTTGTAACCTAATGATTGATTTTGACTCCCTTGGAGCAATTTTTTCTGTGTTAAGAATGCATGACTTTAGAGGACAGCTGCTCAATTTATATTTAGAGATGAAATGGAAATCAGCAAAAAACAGGCATAGATTATATAGGTACATGAATATATCATTAGGGATTGGCAAATATGGATAGTCATTTCAGTAATATTCTCTCTTTTATGTATTGAAAATACCCAATATTCTACTAAAAATAAGAATTTATCCCATTCTCCTGAAATATTCTATTTCCTAATTCCCTGTTAAATATTTAGACTTTTTATTATTTTTGAGTTTTTTTCATTATTCTTATAAGCTTAGTTTATTCATATGCAAATCCTACATAGTAATATAATACTTATAGAGTAGCTATGATTATTAAGTTGTCAAATTTTAGTATATGTAAAGTTGCATGATGAATCATATTTGGTAGGTGTTCAACAGACATTAAGTGAAGCTGAAATTTAAGTCATCCCTGAATAAGACTTGATGGTGGAATAAGAACTACACTTTATTGAACATGTCAATTGCTATACTGTTTTAGGTACTACATGTCTATCACTACAATGAATGACAGTGGATGTTTAAAGCTTGAGTTTCCACAGTATATCAAAGTAACTACAAAGTGAGGAGCTCAGGAGATGCTCATCAAAAATCACTCCTCATTGTTAGGTTTTAGTTCGTTGAAAGGAATGACAAATTGCAAGTGTACAGAAATAGCTAGAAAAGAAATAGTCATAACTAGGAAACTCCTATGAGTCCAGGTTCCAGGTTGCCAGGTTTTGGAGCACCACAAGATGAAACTTCCAGGAGGTTTCTGTCTACAGCACTGGAGATTTAATCTGAAAAGTCTATACAGTATTATGCTGGTTTTTATTTATTTATTTGAAAGGTGGTTACATAAAGAGAGAAAAAGACACAAACAGAGAAAGAGAGAGAGAGAAACAGAGAGGGAGAGAAGGAGAGAGAGAGAGATCTTCCATCCACTGGTTTACTCCTCAAAGGGCTAAAACTACCAGGCTGTGCCATGCCAAAGCTGGGGGCCAGGAGCTTCTTCAGAGTCTCCCACATAGGTATAGGGGCTCAAAGAATTAAGCCATCCTCCACTGCTTTCTCAGGTGCATTAGCAGGGAGCTGGCCTGGAAATAGAGCAGCCAGGACTCAAACTGGTGCCCACATGGGATGCCAACCCTGCAGGCCAACCACTGCACCTATTTTATAACATGCTCCACACCAGCCCCTGTTTTATAATAAGCTTAAGATCTAGGATTAAAACTGAGCCTCTGGCCGGCGCCGTGGCTCACTAGGCTAATCCTCTGCCTTGTGGCGCTGGCACACCGGGTTCTAGTCCCGGTCGGGGCGCCAGATTCTGTCCTGGTTGCCCCTCTTCCAGGCCAGCTCTCTGCTGTGGCCAGGGAGTGCAGTGGAGGAGGGCCCAAGGACTTGAGAGACCAGGATAAGTACCTGGCTCCTGCCATCGGATCAGCGCGGCGTGCCGGCCACAGCGCGCCAGCCGTGGTGGCCATTGGAGGGTGAACCAACGGCAAAGGAAGACCTTTCTCTTTGTCTCTCTCACTGTCCACTCTGCCTGTCAAAAAAAAAAAATGGAGATGAAAATTACACTTAATATCATGTGTTTGTGTGCTCATGGATCCCTTCTTCCCTCTGTGTGTCAAATAAAATCAAATATACATTTTTCTTATCTTGAATATAACTGTGATGAGTAGCAGGACTTTGGGAGTGTTCTCTACAGTAAATTAAATCGAGCTGAATACAATGCAAAAATGCAATAAATGACCATAGAGAGCAAGAGATAGAATCAACTATTTATATTTCAATGAAATGACTGAATGTTGTTGGACATGAAAGCAAGTGAGAGACTAAAGGCAAAG